GGCAGCTTTCCCAGCCTCTGGAAGCCCCTCCCGAGGAGCTGCAGCCCCAGCCAGACTCAGCATCCTCCCCAGCCCAGCACCCTCCTTCCCCTTCCAAAAACCAAACTACCCAACAAGCTGCAGCTCAGCCAAGCACTTCAGCAGCTCAGCTCTCACCCTTGGGGCTTCTTTTCCCTTTTCCCTTTTTCCTTTTCCCTTCCTGGGCTTTTCTTTTCCCCTTTCCCCAACAGGAGCAGCCCCAGCATCCCCACCCGGAGCCTGGCAGGGTTGGCAGCCCCATCCCCATGGGGTTCTGCACCCACACTGTGACCCCCCGAGGGGCAAGGAAAGAGGGGGACACCTGGACAGAGCCCCCAGATCACCTCCCTGTCCACCCAGCTTGCACCTTAGGGACCACAGGGATGCCCTGGAGTGGAGGAGCTGAGCTGCACAGGTTATTTGCACCCCCTTGCAGCTGCTCTGCCTGCTCAGTTCAGAGCTGCTGGGTTGGTGTAATCAGGCCATTTATTCTTCTTTTTTTTTTTGCTCACCCTCTTGTTACCTGTGTATTTATTTACAGCCAATTGTTCCCTATTTTCCTGCCAGTTATGGACCATCTTGTTGACGACGCTGCTTAAACGTGGGGCCTGAAGGTAATTATAGGACTGGAAAAGCAAAGCAAAAAACCAAAAGCTGGCTCAGAGATGCAGAGAAAGGGAAGAAAATGGGGGTTTTTTTTCCCTCCTGCAGGAGGGATTGTAAAGCCTGGATGGGGTTGGTCCTGCCTGAGCCCTGCCTGGCTCTGGCAGCAGTGGGATGGGCATCTCCTTGGCTGCCTTGGGCTCCTTTTCCCTTTCTCCAGGGTGGGGGTGGGGGAGAAAAGTGATGGAGAGACCAAATTCCAAGAGCAAACACCACATCAGCACTTGCTGGTTTCACTTCACTGCGTGTGGCTCAGAACTGAGTTATAGTTTCTCAGTTTGATGAATTCCTTCATTCCCATCCAGCTTTTCTTATTATTGTTATTATTATTCCTATTTTTGGAAGCCTTATCAAGGGGTGCTTCTCTTTCAGCCATTCCCATCAGATCTGCAGAGGGACACCTGAACAAGCAGCTGCCACCAAGAACTGCAGCCCCTCAGAGGAGCTGCCAGTGCCACAAAGGGCTCCCCAGCCCTGCCAGGGAGCTGGAGAAAAGCTCATTTGCAGCCCAGAGCTGGGAGGGATCCAGTGCTGATCCCAATGGGACCCTTCTAGGGGCTGGGAGGGGTGATCTCTGCTCCTTTCCTCCCAGAAATGAAGGTAAAACCCAGCCCAGGTCACTGCTGGCTTGGCCACACTCCAGCCCTGAGGCCACCCCTGTCCCCCCACGTCATTCCATGTGTGCTGTGATCTGTTGTTCTTTCCTAATCTGAGTTAATTAATAGAATCATCATCATGGGATGGTTTGAGTGGGAAGGGACCTGAAAGCTCATCCAGTTCCAACCCCCTGCATGGGCAGGGACACCTCCCACCAGCCCAGGCTGCTCCAAGCCCCATCCAACCTGCCCTTCAACACCCCCAGGGATGGGGCAGCCACAGCTTCCCTGGGCAACCTGGGCCAGGCTCTCCCCACCCTCACACCCAAGAATTCCCTCCTCATCTCCAACCTCCAGCTCCCTCTCCCAGTTTCCATCCATCCCCCTCATCCCATCCCTCCCTGCCCTTGTCCCAAGTCCCTCCCCAGCTTTCCTGGAGCCCCTTCAGGCACTGGAAGCTGCTCTAAGGTCTCCCTGGAGCCTTCTCTTCTCTAGGCTCAACACCCCAACTCTCCCAGCCTGTCCCCAGAGCTGCTCCAGCCCTGGGATCATCTCTGTGACCTCCTCTGGCCTCTCTCCAACAGCTCCATGTCCTCCTTATATTGGGGACCCCAGAACTGGCCCCAGCCCTGCAGGGGGGTCTCACAAGAGCTGAGTAAAGGGGACAATCCCCTCCCTTGACCTGCTGGCCACAACAACTTGGGTGCTCAAATCAGAAGCAAAGGTGCTTGTGTGGACAAGAAACAGGGTCCTTGCCCACAGGGATGGGTGTCCCCCCTCCCAGCTCTTGGATCAGCACAGAACAAACTGCTTGATTATTTACTTATTTTGCCAGCGTTTCATGTATTTTACAGTAGATTACCTCAGTTTATGGCATCTTTTTTTTTTTCCCCTTCCTTACATAATTGTTATAAATAACCTTCAAACGTCACAAAAGCCATAAACGTTGCAAGGGGAGGAAGGGTAAATTATAGAGATTTCAGAGCAGATGAAGGAGAACATGCACATTGATAAGGGGAGGCTGCCTGAGAGGTTTTGTTTGTCCTTCCCCCACCCCCACCCCAAATTGTCTCTATCTTCTTTTTTTCAATAAATATCCAGCTGCAGATGAATGTTCCCCTGCCTGGCCAAGGGGGGTGGGAGAAGCAGCAGCTCAGACCCCCCCCCCTCCAATCTGCACAATGTTCAAGTGCAGCCCCAAGCCTGGGGAGGGGGTGCAGAAGGAGAAAGGGGTGATGAACCCCAGGGCAGGTTGTATCCCAAGGGGAGGAATTTGGGTGTCTTCCCATTGCCAGCTTCTGCTGCCACCTTGCTCCCTGTAAGTCCCCCCAAAAGGACTTGTCACTCAGGTGGGGGAACTGGTTCCATCCTCAGCCTGGGGCTGGTGGGGCTGGTGGGTCTGCCCTCCAGCTGGACACCCACCCCTGCCAGGGACACCTTGGCCAGCTGAGAACCATGGCACTTTGCTCCTGAAGGTTGGGATCATTCTCCACTGATGGAGAGATGGTCCTTGACAAGGCACAGTCACCCTGGGAGCTTTGTCCCCCCCAAAAAAAAAAACTGGGGCAGAGAGGTGATGTCTCAGCCCTGGAGAAGAACAGCCCAACAAAGCCCTGAGCCAGAGGGGCACAGGATCCCCACAGGGTGTTCCCAAGGATGGAGATGGGAACCAGTGGTTCTCCAAGCAGCACCACCTGCCCAGCTGAGCCAGAAGGGGAGAGTTCCCCAGTGCCCAGCCCCTCCAGCCCCCAGCTTCATGGATCTGAGGAGCCCTGGGAGCTGCCAGCTCCTCACCCCATGGCAGGCTCAGGGAACTCATTTGTGCCCCCATCACAACGTGCCCAGAAGGAAGTGGCCACTTCCCTCCTGACTTGGATGCCAGAAGCTCCTGGGATTTGAGAACAAATATTGGGTCTTTAAAGATCATTTTGGCACTTCCAAAAAAAAAAACTGGGGCAGAGAGGTGATGTCTCAGCCCTGGAGAAGAACAGCCCAACAAAGCCCTGAGCCAGAGGGGCACAGGATCCCCACAGGGTGTTCCCAAGGATGGAGATGGGAACCAGTGGTTCTCCAAGCAGCACCACCTGCCCAGCTGAGCCAGAAGGGGAGAGTTCCCCAGTGCCCAGCCCCTCCAGCCCCCAGCTTCATGGATCTGAGGAGCCCTGGGAGCTGCCAGCTCCTCACCCCATGGCAGGCTCAGGGAACTCATTTGTGCCCCCATCACAACGTGCCCAGAAGGAAGTGGCCACTTCCCTCCTGACTTGGATGCCAGAAGCTCCTGGGATTTGAGAACAAATATTGGGTCTTTAAAGATCATTTTGGCACTTGTTGCAGCAACAGCATCAGGGTTTCAGTGTTTGCTTTGTAGCACCTGAGCCAACACACCCTGGCTGAGGAACATGGAGAAGGAAGTTCAAAGCTCCTCTTCACTCCTTGTCTTTCAAGCCAGAGTTTATCTAACAAATTTTGCCTGTTGCTGGTACCTATTTCATCCTTCCCTCCCCTTCATGCCTCGGATCAAGCAGCCAGGAATTATTTGAAAGATCCAAGGACTTCAGGAAGGTGGCCCCTGTGGCAGGAGGAGGGGGCAGTGGGGGCCAAAGTGCTGCTCCCAGGGGAATCCTGCTCCATACAAACCAGCTCCATCACGTTGGATTGGGGCTATGGGGGAGGAAATGAGTGGAAGATCCTGACTTGCCACATCCCAATCCCTTGGGAAATGGCAGTTGCTGGCTGGGGATGCCCTGGGCTTCCTGCCCCATTGCTCTGTCTGCCCCCCCAGCCCAGCCTGGTGCTGCTGCCTGGGGAAACCCAACCTCTCCTGTGCCTCAAACCTCCCACTGACCCACAGCTTGATCCAAGACCTGATGGTCCCTTCTCCAAAACAACCTGGCCCAGCCCTGAAAACCTCCCCTCTCCTGCTTTTCCTCCTCCCTCTGAACCCCCACCAAAGCACTTTTTCCCAGTGAAACCCCCACATCTTCCCCATCCAGACCAATTCTGGGTGGATTTTATTCAACGAGAAGCACTTTTTTTCCCCTCCCCATGAATTATTTATTGTAGTTCAAGGCCTTTCTAGGCCACTCAGGATCTTAATTACATCTGGACACAGTTTCAGGCATGGAGGGGGTGGATTCAAGCCTGTCTGTTTGACACACACAGTCCCCATCACTGCAGCAGCCCCTCCTTAAACCCCCCAGCAAAAGCAGCTTCACCACGGGTAATTTTCCCTTTTAATTAAAAGACCCTGTTTTATCAGCAGCAGCAATCAGTGCTGGAAAGGATCTGTGTTTCCACCAATTCTCCCCCAGTGACACAAGAAAAGAGCTGAAATAATCAGACAAACTCTGATGCTTTCAAATTGAGACCTTCAGCTTTGCCAGCCACCAGTGGCTTTGCAGGTTTGAAATGTTAATTGATAGTTAGAACTGGTAAAAGCCAGGCAGGAAATGAATAAAATAGAATAAAACAGACGTTCCCAGCTCCTTGGTTGACCAAAGAAGCTGAAGAACTTCTCAGCTTTCCCTTTTACAACTTGATTTGAAGCAGGAAAAGGGAGGATTTGGGAGAGTGGAGCTGCCAACAACCCACCAGGCACCAGGAGCTGCTACAACTGGAGAGATGTTTTACACCAACCCCTGCACCAGCCCCAAGATTGATGGCAACGTGTGAAGTTCAGCTCAGCTACCAGACCTGCAGTGAATTCGTGGCAGCAGCAGCAGTTTCTGTTTGCTGCCAACCCCCCCCCTGCTCTGCACCAGGGAATTGCTCCGGGTGGGGACATCTTTCCTCCCCCCCCAACCCTCAGAGGGGGTCCCAGTGCTCCCCCCAGCTGGGAATTTCTGTTCTTCCCAGCAAAAAGCTGCACTCCCCAAGCACAGCCTTCCCTCTGCTTGCAGGATTCCTCCTTACAAACCTAACAAGCTCCTCCAAGGGGGGGTCTTTTTTCTTTCCTTTGCCCTTTTTTCCAGCCCCCCCAGGGCCTGCACGAGGCTGCTCTCACCCAGCAGTGGGGCAGGAGATGGAGGGGTGACCCACAGGAGATGCACAGTGACCAGGAGGAGATGCTGGGTGCCCAGAAGGTGATGCTGGGTGCTGAAGAGATGATGCTGGGTGCCCAGAAGGAGAACCTGTGTGACCAGGAAGAGATGTAGGGTGACCAGAAGATGCTGGGTACCCAGGAGGAGAAGCAGGGCGACCAGAAGGAGATGCTGGGTGCCCAGGAGGTGATGCTGGGTGTCCAGAAGGAGGTGCTGGGTGTCCAGGAGGTGATGCTGGGTGTCCAGAAGGAGGTGCTGGGTGTCCAGGAGGTGATGCTGGGGGACCAGGAGGAGATGCTGGGTGCCCAGGAGCAGATGCTGGGTGCCCAGGAGGAGATGCTGGGGGACCAGAAGGAGATGCTGGGTGCCCAGGAGGTGATGCTGGGTGTCCAGAAGGAGGTGCTGGGTGTCCAGGAGGTGATGCTGGGGGACCAGGAGGAGATGCTGGGTGCCCAGGAGGTGATGCTGGGTGCTGAAGAGATGATGCTGGGTGCCCAGAAGGAGAACCTGTGTGACCAGGAAGAGATGTAGGGTGACCAGAAGATGCTGGGTACCCAGGAGGAGAAGCAGGGTGACCAGAAGGAGATGCTGGGTGCCCAGGAGGTGATGCTGGGTGTCCAGAAGGAGGTGCTGGGTGTCCAGGAGGTGATGCTGGGGGACCAGGAGGAGATGCTGGGTGCCCAGGAGGAGATGCTGGGGGACCAGTAGGAGATGCTGGGGGACCAGGAAGAGATGCTGGGGGACCAGGAGGAGATGCTGGGTGCCCAGGAGGAGATGCTGGGGGACCAGGAGGAGATGCTGGGGGACCAGGAGGAGATGCTGGGTGCATCCCAGATGACCTTAAGCGAATCACTGCATCTTTGTACACTTGGACACCTCTCTCCTGAGAAGAGAAGGAATTTGCTCCTCTCTCTGCCTCTCCCTGGGTCCCAAATCAGTCCCAGTTAGACCTGCCAAGGCCAATAAAAAAGAAACCTGCTGACTCTTGCAAGAGAGATGAACTCCTGGAGTCATCCCTTGCTCTGGAAAGCATCACTGAGGTCCCTGGAGAGGGCTCAGAGCAGCCCCTTCCCTGCCCACACGTGGGCTGGGAAATATTAGCTCTGATTTGCTTTCCCTGCTTCATTTCCCCCTCAGTAAATGGGTCAGAGTCCTGGGAGAACTGGGTGGCCAGGCCAGGAATAGAGCCCAGGTGCTCAGTGTCCGTGTCTAACGCCCTCACCAGCACAAAGGCCTTCTCAGCTGAGTTTCCTGGTGCTGTGAGGACACAGCACAGCTCTGCTCACCCACCCCTCCCTCCTCAGAGCAGATCCTGGGGTCACAGCATCACAAACTCACCTGTTGGAATGACAGAACAAAGCCCAGAGCTACCAGAGCCTGGTTGGAATGAGCCTGTCGCTCTGGTCCTGCCAGGCAAGGGAATTCCCTGCTGGATATTGAGCTGTTCAGGAATTCTCCAGTCTCCCTGCTCTCAGAACTCATCCCTGCCCACAGGGAGGGACCCTCAGGGTTGGGAATATCCCCCTTTCCCAGCTCCCATCCCTTGGATATCCCTGAGAGCCCAGATCCCCCTCCCTGCTCTGGTTCTACCTTTGCAAGGTCATCACAGAAAGGAAAAGAACATTTTGGAGCTTCTTGGGGGGGGAAATATCCTAATGAACAGGTCATTCTGAGCTGGTTTGTTTGTAATTACCACTGGTATTCCTGGTTCTGCTAATAAAGAAGCCAAATGGGAGGGAGAGGAGGGAAAATCCTGAGCTCCAAGCATAAAATAAAGCTGGAAAAGGGGGTTTTTTGGGGGGGGCATGAGGGGTTTTGGGGCTCAGACCTGGCTGTGTGAGGTCGTGGTTGTGCCCTGAGGTGGGAAAGAAACAGGAAAATATGAAGAAAAATAGATTATCCAGACAAATGTCACAGGTGGGGGGGGATGCTCAGTCAAAGAAGATGAATTATTCAGCTCCTGAGCTGCTGAGTGAACATTATCAGCTAATGATCTGTAATTATTAATAAATAATTTCAGCTTTAATAGCTAGGAAATGAAATGCTTAATTGCATCATAACATAATTAATGGAATTAGCTGCTATGAATAAAAAGAGTTGGGGGGGGTGTTAAGTAAAAATCTTATTTTATATCTTTTTTTTTTCACTCATCTGTTGGTTATTTTTGGTCAGTGAAGTAAAGATGCAGGAGAGGAGGAGGAGAAGAAGGAGAAGAAGAAGGAGGAGGAAGAAGAGAAGAAGGAGAAGGGCCTGGTAGGAGCCACAGGACCCCAGGACAGGGACCAACTCTTTGTATAAAGTGGAAAATCAGGACATAAAGTTGTTAAACCCTGGTGAGAGCACAGACCTGACAACTTCCAGCCCTCCAGAAGACAGAAAAACCCCAGCAAACCCAGCCATCA